AAATGTAATATTTCAGATATCCACTTACTAAACAAGGTTTTAGGCCTCAAGCCAAAATTTCTTAAAATCTGGATTTATCATAGTTAAGTTTTTGAGATTAAGCCCCTAGGGCTCGTTAGTCTGGGATATGGCATATTACATGAAATTCAAAGAACAATACTTCTTTATTTGTCTATAGCTTACTTGTTAACTAAATCTTGTAATTTCTGTATTGGTTCTGGTTCTCCTGCTCTACCACAAGCTAAAATTTCACCAGATTCATATACACGGATAATACGATCTGCAGAATTCACCAGAAAACAACTGAAATCCAAACACATATTGGCAATGAAATTAATGGAGTATTATGTCCTACTCTTCTGCACTTAATTGAGCTAATGAAGAAAGGCAACGCCATGCAGTGTGCAATAAGGGTAATTTTGCAAGGACAGCAGCATTAGCCTACTCTGTTTTGATTGAACTGTCGAGGGATCTATTGTCCTATCCAAATGACTAGACGCTTTTTCAATGTCACATTCAGGTATCTTCTGATTTGCATTTTATCATTAATAAGTAGTGTAATGGGTGTGTCTTCTGAGGTAGATTGACACAATGCGCTCACTCCTCTGAGACAAGAAAAACAGTCCAGCATTCAAGTATCTTCTGATTTGTATTTCACTATTAATTAGTACATAGTAAATATATCACCCAGCCCTACCATAAATACATGAAGATGTAACAAATTAAAGAAAAGATTCATTAATTGTACATACTCTCCTCTCCGAGCAAATTCTATTGATTTAATAGCTGTTGTATTAAGAGTACCAGTAGTAACTTTAAATGATGCTACAATTTCTAATTTTTTTATTGTGAATACTAATATCTGAAATAGATGAAAGTTAAATTTCATTATTTTAATAATTGAAAATAAAAATATCTTGTCAGAATCCAAAGAAGCAAAGACGCTGTAATTTTCGACTTGGACTAAACAGCTTTCATCATGGATCTTTGCATGATTTCATTATGCATATAATTCTTAACATCAAAACTGGGATAAATGGTACTTAGTCCATTTGAAAAAGTCTACAAGTAGTTAAACTAGTGGTAAAAAATTTGAAAATTAGAAAGTTATAATTCAGAAGTTATAAAGAAATTGATATTAATGGCAAGGCAAACATTGACTTTAAAATAAATTGAAAGTCTGTGTGCTGATTTCAAATAACTCTTGTTATTTTGAAACTGACAAATTATCTCCCTCTAATGCCCCAAAATAAATCCTACTTACCCTTCCTTTAGCATTACCAGTATAAATATATTTTCCTCTTCTATCAAATGATGCCACAATATTTAAATCAGACTAAAATAGATTATTTGGGTGAGAAAATAAGAGGGGTATACATCAAAGAGGAAATAATACGTTTTATTATATCTGCATTTACAATCTTCCTTGATAATAGTGTCATAATAGCTGGACACTGTGAAGAACTACCCTATCTAGATATTCATTGAGCAGAAGTGCAACTTACATCATCATCAAGAGGTACTGTTTGATGAGTTCCATTTACATTCATAAACACTGCAGCATGTTTCATAGGACATACCAAAAACCTGGCACTGAAAATGTAACATATTCAGTACAATAAGAGGCACTTTAAAATTCACATGAATGAACTGGTATTCAAGAATATTTGGTCCTTCCTTCACATAAAATTTTAGTATCCATGCTGAAAATACAACATTAGGTTTTATTAACTTATGCAAATAACAATTTCGTTTCTTTCAAAAGCTATGAAATAGAAGACTTACTTGTCTCGAGGATGAAACTGAACTTTCAAAACAGGAGAAGGGAATCTGAATATTTTATCACAATCACCAGTCATCACTGACCACAGTGAAACAGTATTATCAGTAGCAGCACTGAGTAGTTTGTGACCATCTCGACTCCAACTAAAAACAAACAAATATATTCTGATTATACTTTGGTTTTGTAAGGTAGTCTAACATAGAATTATGAACAGGTGATCAAAATTATTTGTTATACTTTTCAAAAGCTTATCACCCCCTTTGATGCAAGGATCCATTCCCTTTAAAATAAAGCACTGGTACAAAATGATTATGAGATGCCACTTTTGATCAATATGATTGTAATATAAAAAATTTCACTAATTCATTGTACTTTTATTGGTTCATTCTCACTGCCTATAGTGCTTGATAATGCTTACCTTATGGAACAAACAGGATGAACATGTGCATTAATAACTTTAGCAATGCCTCGTGTGAGGAAATCCCAAATAACAATCCTTCCATCATTACAACCAACAGCTAATAGGGTACCATGACGATTAAAAGCACAAGTTATGGCAATACTAACACAATCTAATGTTCCATCAAATTCCTAGAGAAAAGAGGCACATAATGAAAAGAATGTAATCTTTAATGAAATATACTATACATTAAATTTTGCATACAATAATAAACTGTAGGCCTTCTATTAATGTCTCTGAGCTTCATAAATTGTATAGTTATTAAAGAAATGAATGAAGTATTATATTCTACTCTTCTGCACCTTATTGAGCTATTGAAGATGGGAGATGCCATGCAGTGTGCAATGAGGATAATTTTGCCAGAAAAGCAGTCTCTGTTTTTTTATTTCCAACAGCCTGTAGCAAACAGAGCATTGGTTTATTGTCTTTTCCAAATGACTAGACCCTTTTTCCATGTTTGTATATTGTATATATATAGTTATAGTGAGACACATAAGATAAGTAATTATGATATTAACATTGGCACAGAACTTTCTGACTTACAACATCATGA